GATAGATAGATAGATAGATAGATAGACAGATAGATAGATAGATAGATAGATAGATAGATAGACAGAGGCAACCTTCAACTGCAGACTTGCCAACATCCTTCTCTCTTCTTAGCTTAATCATATGAAATCGCAAAATAACATACCAAATATAAACTTGGAAAGCAAGACCATTTCAGTAGGCCTATCACATTATCTCAAATGGTGGCCCCAGTGACAAAATGAGTAGTGAGTTCAGACTCAAAAGTAATGCCATGCAAGTGCCGTTGACACGTGGTTTGGATGGGTGGTCGCTGGAGTGTGTCCTTGAGCAAAACTGACAACCCTGGTTTTAAGAAAGGGTGCTGCATAGAGCTCCGAGAATGGCATGTTTGTGAAATTCTTTGTATTTGTGTAAAATTGTGAGTTTGCGTATTTATGGGTATATTTGTATTTACGTGTGTATGTATTTAATTATGTATTTATGTATGTGTGTTTGCCATTGTAATCCACATTTCGACACGAGGATAAATAAAAAATGTAAATGATGACTTAAAGGAAACTACTGAAAAAAAGTTAATAAAATATAAGAGTACATTAAAACAAATATGAGCTCAGGTGTTGACGTAAACCAGACTCGGGAAGCCTGTAGCTCGAAGGTAGACAAAGCAAATGCTCCATTATCCATCTCCACAATAATTATGCAAGCTGGCCAGGTGAACGTGAAGACTCCATCAAAGAACATGAAAATGGCAACGTCCATTACTCTTACGCTTGGGCCGTGTAATGCATGTCATTGCATTACTTCTATCGCTACATTTACGTCAGGATGAAACAAAGAGAGGGCGTTACGGGAGTCCATTGCCCGGAATAATATCCTCTCAGCTAGGCTTTTACCCTCGTCTATGCATCATAATATCATTATAAATCTGCCTGCTCTCTCTCTCTCTCTCTCTCTCTCTCTCTCTCTCTCTCTCTCTCTCTCTCTCTCTCTCCCTCTTTTTTAAAAACTCCCTCACTTCCTGTTACCTATTTCCTAGTCCTCACTTCCGGTGACCTCACTTCCGACGCCCTTTCTCTGTAGGCCTACATGGAATGCTCGCAGACGAGTTTTGCTTGCGCCTTGAAATCACGATTGGACAGAGAAAACAAAGAAATGTTTCCAACACATCGTTAATGCCTGGCTGGATGTTTCCCAAACAACTCCTCTCTAAGATGGCCTTACACCGAGTGTTATATTTCTCTAACAAATTGCAATAATTTTTCGCCTCTTCCCCAGTCTAAGACCATGAGATGAAAAACGTTAATAGCTGTCCAGCTTTTTCCTTGCAAGATACTTTCCTCTTTTTAGCCCTGCCCCTCTTTTTTTTGTTCGTGTTCTTCTTGTTCTTGTTCTTGTTCTTGTTGTTGTTCTTTTTCTTCTTTTTCTTCTTCTTCTTCTTCTTCCTCTTCTTCTTCTTCTTCTTCTTCTTCTTCTTCTTCTTCTTCTTCTTCTTCTTCAGAACTGGCCTGTTTGGTGTAACCGGTGTCTGTGGTGTAACGATTAGACGCTTCGTCGTCGCACACAGGATATCCGAGTTCGACTCCCGGGTGTGGAAAATTTCTATCGTGTATTTCAGGCTTTCTTCTGGAACGTTGTAGCCATCTCTGCCTTGGGTGCCCCATACAGGCAGGTTTGAATCTCATCTTCTTAATTATGATTTAAATTGTGTCGAAGGGGATGGGGGTGGGTGGGTGGAAAGATTTGCTTTTAAAAAAGACCTGCTACAGTGGTCGTTACTATAATTTTTCTATAAATTTGATTCTGCAACAATATGCGGAGCTATTTTTAAATAGTACCGTGTTGTGAACTGTAACATTTTATAATTAAACGACACGTGTTAATCTGATAATACTTTTTTTCCTGTATAACTACAGCGTTTGTTCTGCATGCCTGATGCACACTGCCAATAGAGGTCAGTCGAACTGATTCTAGGTCACCCAGATATTCCTTCATGGAGAGGCAAAAGCAACCACTTTGGCCCAATGCGACCGATTCGACTCGCTACCTTGAAAAACAAGCGCGGTTGATCTGGAAGTTCAAAATTGAATCAAATTCGAACTCAGTCAAATTGTTTCAGAATGGTAGCTGTCGCATACCCACGACGGAGAAAATTCTGGGAGGCCCCGACTAAGTCATTCTTTCTTTTTTTTTCTTTTTTTTTTTGGGAAATGTTTTACAGCGCTTGCAACTGCATAAGGTCATATGAGAGCGCGGGACACACCCAATACTTTTAGTTGGTAGGAAATTTTGA